GGAGATGGAATAAAGGAAGAGATCCAGATGGCAAGGGGGGACAGAGGCAGCTATCCGAGGAATCTGAGACAGGAGTTGAAGGAGACTAGTGTGGGCAAATCGGAGTGTGGGCAAATTTAGGGAAGTTAACAGATTCAGTCTTAGAATATTAGGTTTTGTTGAAGAGAGGAAATCCTAGAAGCCCACAGAGCAAGCATTCTGCGTGGGAGTACTCCTTTCAAATCGTGATCCCTCCAGAAACCAAGACAAATCAGTCCTCATTCGGTGAGGATAGATATGCACCTTACTTGTTTTTCTAAAAAACGTTTGTAGCAATTAACAGTTATGGGAGAAATCAACTTCTTTCTTAGGTTTAATGATTAAACTGCCTTTCTAAGTAAACGTAAGCCTCCACCTCACATCATAGTACACAAAACACAAAAGCTCTACACAAAACTTAGAACTAAACCAGATGTAAACATAAAAGCTGAAGCCATAAAGCTTCCGAAGAAAATGTAAGAGTATCTTTACAATTTCAGGGTAGGCAAAGTACTAACACAGAAAGTACTAACCATAAAAGAAAAAAGGTGAATGGAACTTAACTGAAATTTAAAACTCCAGTTCATCAAAATAGACTATTAAGAAAATCAGTGGGCAAGCCACGCTGAAAGAAAATATTCACAAAGAATATATTTAATAAAGAACTGGTATCCAAAATACAGAGTTCTCACAAATCTGTAGAATTAAAAAAAAAAAGATAAAACTGAGTTTTTAAAAAAATGTGCAATCAACACAAAGGAAGATATATAGCTGGCCAAGAAGCAAAGATAAACTGTTTCACGTCATCAATCACACAGGGGAATTCAAACTCAAGTCACCAATAGCTACCACTACGCACCCAGTGAACTTTATACCCTGTTGACTGGGGTGTAAAAATGGCAGTTTGGAAAATGCCTGTCAGTGTCTTATCAAGTTAAAACACACAACGACCAGAAACCCCACTGCGAGGTATTTATTCAAGAGAAATAAAAACAGATGTCCACATAGTCTTTTTTTTTTAAGACTGTTCAGAGCAGATTTATCCATAAGAGCCCCAAAATGTCCATCATCTGGCAAATGGATAAACAGATTGTGGTATATTCTTACAACAAAGCAATATTCAGCAATAATAAGGCACAAATATTGACACACTCCAAGACCATGAATGAATGTAAAATTCATTATGCTAAATTAAAGAAACCCAATACAAAAAAACACCTACAGTATAATTCCATTTATATGAATAGGCAAAACACCTATGGGGTGGGGTGTCTATGGAGGGGATATACACGAGGGAAGAGGCATGAGGGAACTTTCTGGGAATGTTATCTAAGGGTGTGGGTTACAAAGGTGCAAACACTGGTCATGTCAATGAACTGTACACTTAATACCTGTGATTTTCACCATATGTAAAGTATGCCTCAATTTTTAAAGGGAAAAAAATAAAAGAAAGTAAATGAAAAGCCATCGCTGATACAAATACCTGAAATCGATATGCTTTCTTTTTTAAAACTAGATTGAAGGAAACCTTTATCATTTCAAGGCAAAAACAAAACACACAACTTTTAAAAGGCAAAACTGTGGAAACAGCACAGACCAATACATCACTCAGACCACAAGCTGCAAATCACTTAACCTCTTCACTTTGGTTTTTCCTCTATAAAATGGGAATTAAAAAAAAAAATCTACCAGGAATATGTAAAAACTAAGCTTATGCAAAGCATTGTAGAGAAAAATGTTGCCTGCCAGTCCAGTTCTACCAGGATCAAGCCGTTAGCCACTGCAGTCACCCAGGACTCTAGGACTGAGGGGAATTCAGGCTAGAGACAGACAGGAAGCGGTCTGTGCCTTGGACACCTGCCCCAAGATAATGCAGATCTAAAACTGAGAAATTTCGGCTTTCCCAGATTCTTGCATCTTCCCATACTTAGAAAATGATACATAAAATCATTAACCTGATTTGCCTGTTTTATGATTAACACTCATCTCAGGACTCCGACTACAGGTTTTCTCACAGCAAAAAATTCATATATCCTGGCTCCTCCCTCACATCTTCACAACAGTTTCTCAGAGCTGTCTGAGAAGTTGTTCCCCTGGGCTATTTTATATAGAGTAAGACACTGAATAAACTCAACTCATAGCCCTTATGTAGTTCACACTGGTTTTTTCAATCAAGGACTCTAGGGAATTCCCTGGAGACCCAGTGATGAGGACTCCACGATTTCACTGTGGAGAGCGGAGTTTGACCCCTTGTCAGGGAAGCGCAGGTGTGTGGCCAAAAAAAGGATTGCTATCAATAGTATAGTGGGCTTCCTGGGGGGCTCAGTGGTAAAAGAATCCACCAGCAAAGCGGGAGACCCAGGTTCCATCCCTGGGTTGGAAAGAACCCCTGGAGAGGGAAGTGGCAATCCACTCCAGTAATCCTGCCTTGAGAATTCCATGAACAGAGGAGCCTGGCAGGCTATGGTTCATGGGGTCGCAAAGAGCTGGACAAGACTGAAGCGGCTGAGCCTGGCACACAGGAGCCTAGTAAATGGTCACAGTAGAAAACAACTAGAAAATGCATAAAAAAGGTTCACTTTACCTTTCCTTTCCAGTTGACTCTTTTTTGAATTTCTATCTATACTCCTACCCTTTTTTCTCCTGAAAACTCTACCTTTTTTGATAGTGACCTCATTCCATCCAGATGACTGGTGGTAAGAGAAAGAGATGCCTTGTTCTTTAGCTCCTTCATCTTAAAAATGTACGTATAAATCAGTTTTGGATAACCAAATTATATGTAAAAGGATGAGGGAAACTCACTAGTTTAAGAAAAGTTTAAATTGTTTTGAGGAAAGCAATTATAAAGATGACCAGTAGCAGATTTCCCATACATTGTGTGTGCGCTAAGTCGTTTCAGTCATATCCAACAATCCGCGACCCTGGTAGACTGTAGCCCACCAGGCTCCTTGGCCCAGAGTATTTCCCAGGCAAGAATTACTGGAGTGATTTGCCCTTTCTACCGCCAGGGGATCTTTCCCATCCAGGGACCGAACCCGTTTCTCTTGTCTCCTGCATTGGAAGGCGGGCCCTTTACCACTAGCGCCACCTGGGAAGCCCCAAAGTGGCTTGCTTATTCACATCTGCTGAAAAGCTTTCTAATTATTTTTCAAAAAGCCATCTTTCCAAATGCTAAAACCTGCATACCAATAACTCCTTTCCCCAAAGAGCACGCTCAAGCCGTGGACAAAGCCTGCAGAGTCCTCTCCTTTTATCACACCAAAGTGTCCTACTGGATTACCGCCAACAACAGGGCTCAAGTAGATTTATCTTTCCTGTAGATCACGTAGTCCATTTGCCTAATGCAGTGCCCTAGATTTTGCAAATTACATTCATAGATGTACTTGCAAGCCTGCAGATTTCAACATCTTCAAGGAGGACACAAAACATGTGGATAAAATTGTCTTGATCATCAATAAAAGCACTATTTCAAGACCACCCACTATTCTTTCGCTGTAAATTTAAATTTCCGTTGTTTTTTTTTTCTCTTTCTTTCATTAAAACCAGGGTAGAGCCAATACCCAGATGTTCTCTCTGCATTCAAGCTGCACAGTAAGAACCCACATATACTAAAGATCTGTCTGAAAGCTTTTAAGGCCAAAGATTTCTATTGTGTGGCCTGTGATAGGCACTGACTAAAGGAAACTTGAAACTATAAATAGCACAGAGAATACCATATGGGGGGACAGGGGTGTTTTGCTTACAATGGCAACACAGACGAGTTCACAATTCAACTGAATTATATCCAAACACTGAATTATGAGCCCACCGAAACACTGATGACTAAGATCAGAATGTACCACCACTAGAAAGTTCTATATGCCATCTTACTACCACGTCTAAGGTGTTTCTTCTTGGTGCAGAGGCATTCAGCGCCAAGAGGCTCGGGCTTAACTCTCCATCATGATGGAACAGAAACCACGATGCAGCGGAGCCCGACTCGGGTGCTGGTGCAGTCTTGGGGGGGGGGGGCACCAATCAACCTGGAGCTGGTACAGGGCACCACTCCATCAGGTTGCCTCACTAGCGCCTGATAATCACTGCTCCCCAGACAAATAAAAAGCTCCAACCTAGAAACAAACTAACAGACCAGATGGGTCTTCGGGGTCGGCTAAGAAGGTAGGCATCACCTGCAAATCGGGGGGTTGTGGGGGAGGTAAGTGGGTGCAAAATGGCTGTCCAGGGCCGAATGAAACGCAGTGAATCACAAGGCAAGCCCCTCCTAGGGTAAGGGCTTTACAACAAACGTGTGCGTAGGGCACCCCCACCCCCAGCCATTCCCACTCGGGATGCGAAAGCGCGCGGGAGACGGGGCCGCAAAACCGCGGGCACCTGCGGGCAGGGAGAGCGGGCACGCGGGGAGGGGGGGTCAGCAAGAGGTGCCGGCTCACCGCCTCGACGGCTCTCGCGACCCGTCGAAAGCACAAAGCCCAACGAAAGCGGAGAAGAAAGGAAAGGCGACACGTGCTCCGCAGGCAAGGATCGGGGTGCCGGGAGGGAGTTCGCAGACCACCAAAGCGCACTTTCGTTGGAAACCGCGCAGCTCCCGGAGCCCCAGCCGGCGCCCGGCGGAGGGTTTCGGGCGCCCCCTTGCTCAGCTCGAGCCTAGCCCGCGCGCACCGTCCCCCGAAACCCTCCCCACCCCGAACACCGGGCCCTGACCGCAGCCCCCGCCACAGGTTGGCTGAGCCGGGGGCGGGGGGGGGGGGGGGGGGGGGGGGGGGGGGGGGGCATCGTCGAGCCGCCGGCACAGAGAATTAAGTTTCTAATAATATAACTTTAGGCGGATTAACGTTGGCTTCGCCCAACCCCGAGGGCCGCAGCCGGTACCCACGAGGCGGTGTGAAAAGTGAGGCGGGGTCCCGGGGCGCCCGCGCTCCTCCCGGGCAGGTGCGCGCCCCCCACCCCGGGGAGGGGGGCTCGCCCAGGCGGGTCGCGCTCACCAGGTACCAGACGCCGAGCAGGATGGTGCCGGTGCGGACATGGCAGCATAGGCAGCAGCTGTTGGAGTAGAACCGCGTCCAAGGGGCCACCATCTTCATCGCTTGGGCCGCGGGCGCAGTGGCGCGACTCTGCGCCCAAGTTCGCAGGAGCTTCGGCCGTCGGTCCTGCTCCCCGCGCGGCTGTCGCCGGACATCCCGGGTTGTCCCCGAGTCGGCCCCCGGTGGAGTTCCGGGCCTTCCCCTCTTTCGATTGGTCATCCGTGTAACTCCACCACCAGTTCGAGATTCTTTTATAGTCTAGTTAGTGGTGGTTTGTTTTTTTTTTCTCCTTCCACTTGTATCTTGCAGATATTCTGTAGGTTCGGTGCCATCCCCGTTGTTATCTTGCAGACTGGCTGGAGGAGGGAAACGGTAGGGGTGATTCCGGCCGACTGCAGTCCTTTGAACCGCTGCTGAAGCCTCCCAGAGCAGTCTGTCTCTGCTTCCCAGCTCAATCACTGTGCTACTAATCTTTTCACAGTAAATAGGATGTGTACCTGCTATGCTTCAGGTAGCGTTTTTAAATCATGACTGCAGCTCTAAAGAAACAGTCATCAAGCCAAGTACTGCCACAAGGTGCAAGAAGGTAAGGTAAGGAGTCCTGGGGAAAAAAAGAGAACCAGGCATGGCTTTCTTGGCATAAGAGAAGCCTTTTTTGGCCTAAGCCATTTTGTGGTCTAAGACTGACCCCAGTGCTCGTCCTTGAACGGGCCTCAGCAAGAAAGTTCTTAAGGGAACGCAAGAAAAAACTGTTAAGGGGCAAGAGAAGTAACAATAGCAAAGATAACAAATCAGGTGTGAAGACTCCCAGGTGTGTTTCAGTGGTACCCATTAACCTGGCGCACTTTCTTGAACTGTTTTGCAGAATTTAAACCCCTTCCATTGCGCAACCGTCCTCTAAGGCAGGAGTCCCCAACACCCCCCACCCCTCATTAGAAACGGGACCACACAGCGGGAGGTGAGCAGTTGCCTTCCATGAAACTGGTCCTTGGTGCCAAAAATGTTGGGGACCACTGCTCTAAGGGACGATGTTGTAGACCTTTTTTGGCCCTCATGACTTCAGTCAACTCAAGTTTGGACTCTGATCACCCAAGCCCCTTCATGAATATGCCTACAGCCTTAGCTTAAAACTTCCCCAGTTTTGCTCTTAGACACTGCTTTGGGGAAGATCCCCAGTGTTCTCCTTACTTGCTGCAAGTAATAAATCCTTTCTTCTCACAGTCCTTGTTTTGGCTCCACACCCACCAAGAGGTGAACCCAGTTTTTTGGGTCGCATCTGTGAGACCCAACACAGAGAGTTAAGAGATACTTCTAGGATTCCATTTTGCAGTTATTTCCTCCCACCTAGTGTTTGGTCTGGAAGTGATCTCGGAGAGAGAGTGATCCTGAAGAGAGATCTTAGTTTCCTCTCCAGGAACTGAATCTGGGCAGCCTGAATGAAAACCAGGAAACCTAGCCACCAGACCACGGGGGACTAGAGGCTAGAAGCAAAGTGGCCATCACTCCTTTCCAAGTTTGAAAACAAAGTTTCCAGGAGGCCAAAACTAAAAACAGTTACAAAGTTTATTATTACAGATGCAGCACAATGTATGGGAGAATACATAGTAGAAAAACAGTTTATCTATTTAAGTCAGAGGCAGAGCAGAGATACACACCAGGGAGAAAGGGTATGGCATCCTTTCTAAGGAGGAGGAAAGCAACAAGTCCAAAGCAAGAGAGAAATACATACTCAAAGAGGAGTGTGGCCATCCTGAATGATGAGGACCATGCTACATCAGAAACTGGGCAGAGACACACACCTGGAGAGGAATGTGGGCGTCCTGAGTGAGGAGGGGCAGTAAAGAGGTGATTTAAATCACATATAAGACAGTGCTTCTGGGTCTTTGTTTTGTTGCTGTTTAGTCATTAAATCGTGTCCAACTCTTTGGTAACCCCAGTGACTGTACCCTGCCCGGCTCCTCTGGCCATGGAATTCCCAGGCAAGAATAGTAGAGTGGGTTGCCATTTCCTTCTCCTGAGATCTTCCCGACCCAGGGATCAAATCGGCGCCTCTTCTGTTTCCTGCATTGGCAGGTGGATTCTTGACCACTGAACCACCTGGGAAGTCCAGGTCATTGTTTACCTTTGGTCAATTATCGTGTTTCTTTTTTCACATCTGACTGCTCCTTGGACCATTCCCAAGAGGCATGCACATGCTAAGATGGATCCAACCGTAGAGGCCTGTGGGTACATGTCCACACTTACTGTGAGATTGGACTCCTTCCCATTTTGACCCTCAAGAAGATTTCCTGCACTTGTGCAGACAGGGAAGTCTTCCGTGACCTCAGGATTGGGCACCTTATCTCTTTACTTTAGAAGAGCTCAGATTTTGCCTCTAGCTTTGTTCTCAGAGAAGGAAATGGCAACCCACTCCAGTATTCTTATCTGGAAAATCACAAGGATGGAAGAGCCTGGCAGGCTATGGGGTCCACGGGGTTGCAAAGAATCGGACTCGACTAAGCGACTAACACTTGTTCATGAAGTACCTGGGTGAGAAAAAAACTTGAATTTTACTCCAGTTGACAAACACCAGGTGTCCAACCCATCTATCTCTTACCTCAGAAGAATCCTTGTCCTACGTTAGCCACTAATCACTGTGTAAGCCAAGCATCTCAGACAAGTTAAGATTATTATAGAGCACGTGTCAGTGTTTCATTTTGGATTTGAAAAAAGAGAAAGACTGGTTGGATCTATATTTCTTGAAGAAAGATTATATAGAAAGGAGGAGGAATATGAGATAAGGCTGCTTAAGTGCAAGCTTAACTTTACGAGGCTGTAAAGTTGTCACATTCTTATTGTGTAGTGTAAACCTGGATCTCAAGGAACTCTAGAGTCACCCCCAGAGATGTCAACCACAGCCCTAATAAGAAATAATAATGAACACCAAAGCCGAGGAGGACCCTGCGAGGCCCTCTGGATACAAAAGCCCCTCCACTGCTCCTGTTTCTTGTTTGTAGAAAAGGGTTTTAGTCTCCTAAGCCTTCCCTGAGCTTCAAAGAGCAGGCGGGAGTTCTTGCTGACTAGAGAAGCGAGGGAATGCAGAAACAAAGGAAAAGCAGCTCAGCAAGAAAAGTCGTAATAGTCCAGTGTTCAAACGGGATCCCACTTCCTCCTCTAGGAACACAACAATCTGACACATACCTTTGAGTTGTTGTGCAGAAACTAAGACACACCGCCCTGCCCCTGGTGGACAATGATGAAGACCCCAGATGATTAACACTCTTGAAACATCACCCTCTAACCTCACCACCAACCAATCAGAAGAAGGTCATACCCGCTGCTGTTCTCACCCCAAATGTCACCTTTAAAAATGCTTCCTTGAGACCAACATGTACACGCTGGTATATATAAAATAGAAAACCAACAAGGACCTACTGTATAACAGAAAGAACTCTGCTCAATGATATAGGGCAGACTGAACGGGAGGGGTGTTAGGGGGAGAATGGAGATGTATGTGTATATATATATATAGGGCTGGGTCCATCTGATATGCACCTGAAACTATCACAACATTGTTAATTGGCTATATTCCAATAAAAAATAAAAAGTGAAAAGATATATGGTTATAGTAGTAATCTTGGCAAGGCAGCAATGAGTGGTGGCATGAAGTGAGATCTTCATCACCTAACAAGAAGTTGAACCTGGGTAGCTTGAATGGAAACCAGGAATCTTAGCCATCAGATCGGGGGGTGGGATGATATTGGAGTCCAAGAAAATAAAATCTGTCACCGTTTCTACTTTTTTCCCTTCTATTTACCATGAAATAATGGAATGGAACGCCATGATTTTCACTTTTTGAATGCTGAGTTTAAAGCTCGCTTTTTCACACTTGTCTTTCACTTTCATCAAGAGGCTCTTTAGTTCTTCTTTGCTTTCTGCCATTAGTGTGGTATCATCTGTATATGTGAGGTTGTTGATAATTCTCCAATCTTGATTCTAGCTTGTGATTCATCCAGCCAGGCATTTTACACTATGTAATCTGCATATAAGTTAAATAAGCAGGATGACAATATACAGCCTTGAGGCACTCCTTTCCCAATTTGGAACCAGTCCATTGTTCCGTGTCCAGTTCCAACTATTGCTTCCTGACCTGCATACAGGTTTCTCAGGAGGCAGGTAAGGTGTCTGGTATTCCCATCTCTTTAAGAATTTTCCAGTTTGTTGTGATCCACACAAAGGCTTTAGCATAATCAATGAAACAGAAGTAGATGTTTTGGGGGAATTCCCTTGCTTTTTCTTTTGTTTTTAAAGCTTTTATTTGAGGGGGGCTCAGCTGGGTCTTAGTTTTGGCATATGGGATCTTAGTTGTGTCATGTGGGATCTAGTTCCCTTACCAGGGATCGAACCCAGGCCCCTTGCACTGGGAGCAAAGAGTCTTAGCCACTTGACCACCAGGGAAGTCCCTCTCCTGCTTTTTCAATGATCTAATAAATGTTGGCAATGATGTTATTGGACCAAATTTTGGGTCAGCTCACTTGCTGCACAGTAAAGCCAATATACTGATAGTGGGTTGTGGTGAGGGTACTTTGCAGGCAGCAAGGAAAGTGTATAAGCAGCTCATGTTCAAAAGGCCTCAACTCCCCTGTGGCTTTCAGGGAAGGGTTACTTATTTATTTATTTTTAGTTATGTTGACTTAAAAACTACAACCTAAAAGTTGAAAAAAAAAAAACCCTAAAAGTTGAGAGTTGTATTTCACTCGATGGGAATTTTTAGGACTTCAAGCCTGGAAAACACCATCTCAAGTAACCTTGAGTGACTTGCTGCTAGGAGGCAAAGGGGACGAGCCAGGTTATATAGTAATTTTGCAACAAAAGGCAGGTAGTCTGAACATCAAAAATTTTTTGTAAATTAAAGAAAATTAGATATCCCAAGTTAAGGTACATTTCTATATGTATGGGAAGATGGGAGAGTCTGAGCTCACTGAAATTATTCTTTTGATATGTACCTCAGCTATCTGGGGCCAATTTCTTGTATTTTTTCACATCCTGAGTTCCTCTGGACTCACTGTAGGGAGTAGCTATAGTCTGATGGCTACTAGATGGCAGGTATTCATCATGAGTTCCCTCAGGGCTCACCAGCCCACTTTGGAGGGCTGCGATGGCTGA